TAATTTATTCTATAAACAACAGCATCTTTAACTTTAAACATTTTTGTGTCTTTAAAGCGAAAAACTTCTTTTTTTATTTTAAGTTACATAAGTTACAGAAAGTTTCAAAGATTTTCAACTTTGTTGAAAACTTTTGAAAGTTTTTATTAAAAAAGTAATGGTTTCTATAAGCATTACAATGACTATTAGATTAAAATCCTTGTGAAAATGAATTTTGAAAATTAAAAAAAGGTTTTTAAAGTTAATACAATGAAATTTGTTACAGTGCCCTATGTTATAAATATAAATCATTTTGAAATATTTTGTTTCCATTTTTAGAATTAAAATAATGAATAAAATAGAAAAAAAAGCTTATTTTAAAGAAGAATGGTTAAATAAAGACATTTACCCTCATTTTGACTCTTGGCTAATGAAAGGAAAAAATAACACCCAGGCAAGATGCAAATTATGCAATAAAATAATTGAACTTTCAAACATGGGTATTCAAGCAATAAAAAGTCACGAGAAAGGAAAAAAACATGTTTCAGTTGCAAGCAATTTCTCTTGTTTTTTTAAATCATCTGGCTCTAAAAATACTAATTCACCTAATTCAGTAGAAGAGTCTAATTTAAAGACAACTGATAGTTTCTCAACAGGACAGATGAAGCAGCAATCTTTAGAACTCATCGTATCATATTCTAATAAAATCTGTGCAGAAATTATGTGGGCATTGCATTGTTGCTTAAATAGAATTTCTAACAATTTGAACAAAAATGTGACAAATTTGTTTCAAGCAATGTTTCCTGACTGTGAGATTGCTAAATCTTTACAAATGGGACCAAATAAAGTCGGATATAGCATCACTCATGGTCTTGGGCCTTATTTTAAAGGTTTACTTAAGCAACAAATGAGCCTGTCTCCTTGGCTTGTCGTATCCTTTGATGAATCCCTCAACAAAAAAACTCAAACTTGTCAAATGGATTTACTCATCCAGTATTGGAATGAGGAAAAAATGCAAGTTGAAGTGAGGTATTGGGATTCCTCATTTATGGGACATAGTACTAGTCTTGATTTGGTAAATCATTTTAATGAAAAGATAAGTGATATTAATATCAGCAAGATTGTTCATGTCTCTATGGATGGACCCATTGTCAACTTGAAATTTCACAGAGACATTCAAAGCAAACGTGAAGAGCACGAATTATCTAAACTTAATGACATTAGCTGCTGTTCCCTACACATAATTCATGGTGCTTCCAAAGCAGGAGTAGAATCAACTGATTGGGAACTTAAAAAGACATTTAAAAGCTGCTTTACCTTATTTCATGATTCTCCTGCCAGAAGAAGTGACTTTTTGCTTTCATTTTGCGCAACCAGATGGGTTGAAGACAAAAGGTAGCGGATAGATTAATTAGTATTTGGCCATCTATTATAAAAATTGTTAATTATTGGGAGTCTCTGCCTAAAAGTAAATGACCATCTTGCAAATCATATAAGTTTGTTGTAAATGCTGTTAAAAAAAAACTTTCTCTTGTAAAATTCCAGTTTTTTAGCTACCTGGCGAGCATGTTTGAACCGTTTCTGAAGCTCTATCAGACAAATGCTCCAATGTTGCCTCACATGAATGGTGATCTTGTGCAGTTGATTAAGAGTATTCTTAGGATGTTTATTAAATCTGAAACTATTGAGGCTACCTCAAAACTTACCAAAATTGATCTGCAAAATAAAGAGAACCATTTGAAACCCAGTGAAATTGATATTGGGTTTGCTGCTGAATTATCACTGTCAAAGCTCAGAAAAAATGATGCAGTTATTTTGAAGGATATGAAAGAATTTAAAATTCAATGCATGCACATTTTAATTTCAGCTGCTGAAAAGTTATTTAAAAGATGTCCCCTTGATTTTGTGATTGTTAACACGAGTACTTGTTTGCTTCCAAATTTTTATGCTCAGATCACACCTGAAAAAAATAGGAATCAAATGAAAATATTGCTGCATCATCTTATTTCACTTGGAATATTAACTGCTTCTTATTCTGACAAAGTTATCAGCCAGTTCTCAAAGTTTATTTCATTAGAATTTGCTCTGAATCAGGATGTTTTCATTAGTTATGATCAAAATAATAAACGTCTTGATGATTTTTACTTCAAAAACATTGACATAAAAAAGTATCCAGAATTGTCATCTGTCATTAAGTTGGTTTTGACTCTGAGTCATGGACAGGCATCAGTTGAACGGGGGTTTAGTGTCAATAAGGATGTGGTTACCGATAATATATCAACAGATGGTATTGTTGGACGGCGTCTTGTGCGTGATTTCATGCTTACCAACAACCTCAACCCCCACTCTGTCCAGATTACATCAGAAATGAAAGTTGCCTTTAAATCTGCTCATCAAAAATACCAGATCATGCTTGAGGAAGAGAAGTCAAAGAATAAAAAACATGCTATGTTAGATCAGAAAGCCATTATTTTGTCTGAAATTGAAGAGCTAAAATCTAAAATGGGTTTCCTTATAAAAACTTCATTGATGCTAGAAAAAGAGTTTGTCTTAACTGTGGAACAAGCGGAAAAAGAAAACAATTTATCATTGGTCAGCAAAGCGAATGCTTTAAAAAGGAAAAGCGAGGAGAAAATGAAAGACGTAGCTAAGTTGCAGGAAACATTATTGATATTAGAAGAGAAGAGAAAGAAACTGAATTAACAATAGTTGCCTTTTGACAATTTGTTTGTTTATATAAAATATTATTTATGTTGACATTCATGCAAATATGGCTAATTAAAAAACTTTAATTATATTTTCAATATAAGATTTTGCTTAAAAAATATATGCAATTTAAAATTAATTAAAAGTTTTTTTTTTAATGTTTCTAAGCATGTTTTGTTATACTGTGCTATTTTTATCTAAAGGTATTATTGAATTAGCGAAGGTACAGCTACAAATAGTGATGAAAAACAACTAACCCAAAGTAGTCTCTGTTATAGACCAAATATTGCTCAAAATGTTGAAAGATATCTACATAGACAGTTTATTTTTGTGTTAGTGAAAAATAATTATATATAAAATATTTTATGTGCATAATATTTAGATTTTCTTGAAGATCATCTGAAACTAAATTTTATGTGCATAATATTTAGATTTTTTAAGAAGCTCACCTGTTGTTTATTCTTAGTCATCCTTAATAATATGCATAATAAAATCTATACTAACATCCAACTTAACTAATAGCTAAGTTTTATAAGTTTTGTCATTCTAAGCATGTACATTTTAGCATTTTCATTACAGTAGTAATTTTTAACATTTTATAAAAACCAAAACATGTTAAAAATGGTCAGGGAAATTCATCTGATTTTTCAAAAAAGTCAGGGAAATTTTTATAAATATGTGGCTACGAACCCTGTGATAACAAAAATAGTTTGAAATTAAAATTTGTATTGGTACTGTTTTTAAATATTTAAAAATAGTATCAATAAAATATGATATTTTCTTTAACTATTATCTCTTGAGGAAGACAATTCAAGTCCTTTGTAATTCTGTTTGTAAAGAAATGGTGTCAAATATTGAATCGGTAAATTGTCTGCTTATTCTACAATAGAAACATTTCTATGGATAACTTTTTAAAATAGATGTCTTTAAACATATTAAGTATATTTTGCAGTTGAGTAACTTAACTGGTTATTTTCATTTAGTTTATAGGTAAAATTACTGTGATGTACTTTATCCATTAAGTAAATCAAATTAAATTTAACTTTAAAATAGAAGTTGGATATTATTGGTTTCTATGCATAGATTTAAAGTAATTAAAATTCAAAAGTGCTTTATATTGAATGAAAATCTCTGCGTAAGAGAGCAAATATTCATGACCCCTTATAAAAGCCTCAAACAAAAACGTTTATGACCCCTAATTAAAATCTCAGACAAAAAAAATTCTATATTTTTTAGAAATATATTATAGAAATATATTCTATATTTATTAGTTAGATACAATTTAAAAAAAAAAAAAAAATCGTGATATGCTTAATTCGAGCCTTGGATTGCCTTTTTGTATTTGATTTCATTCAAAATAAACTTCAAATTTTTTCATAAAAACAAATGAAATACATAAACATTGCACCAGAAACACAGAAAGCGATAAGCGATAATACTCTTCTTTTTAATACTCAATACTATTAAATATGGTAAGTTTTCTATAAAGTACCTATGTATCCAGTGGAACCCCCAATGGAATCAGTCTATTCTTGAAGTAATTAAAAGGTCGGGAGAAAAATTTCCTTTTATTGATTACTTACTACTTAATAGAATTCAATTAAAAAATATATTGTTTGAATATGTTTTTTTATAATTTCTTATTGTACTGTCTTAAGTAAATAACTTTTTTAATTTATCAATGGTTTGTTTTGAGTTATAAGTTAAATTGTTATAAGTTATATGTGCTTTAAGGTTAGAAAGTAATATACTATTATTATAACTGTTATTTATATTAGTTTAGTTTTTATATCTATAATATTTATTATTTCTAATAATATTATTCTCTAATACATAGTGTTTAAAATGATTATAATATTATTTATAAATTATTATTGTTGTTATTATTATTATTGTTATTATTATTATTGTTACTGCTTATATTTGTTTAATTTTTTATTTATTTATTTTTTTTTTTCCCTTATGCTTGGTCTCCTCTTTTTTGTGCTTTTTGACCCCAAACTAATTTTTTTGTGCTTTTTATGTTTGACACCAAACCAATTTCTGTAACTTTACAATAAATTTTGTAAATTTATCAATTAAGTTGAATAAAATTTTTAAAAAGATATACTACATACAAAAAATAACATGAGATAACACATTATCATCTAATGGGATGATTAATATTAATAACATGACAGTGGAGTTAAGATATGTCCCACCATAAAATAGCATCATTAGCATTTCTTAATCAGTTTTCTCATGAAATTTTCTGAAAATTTTTATTGTTAGCCCTTTGATTCTATTGTTCTATAAATTTATGCTTATAACTTCAGAGAGAAAGAACGAAATTCACAATGCTGTTTAAAAATGATAGACAAGATGACTCAAATTATTGATCCTGAAAATCCAGGTATGTTTTCAAAATTTTCTTTCATTAATTTGTTTCCAAATATATATATATGAATTTGTAAAAATTCAACAAATTTATTTATATGTATTTGTAGAAAAAGTATACAATATTAATAAGTGTTCCATTAATAAAAAATGTTAATTTTATATGTATATATAAATACATTATGGTTTTTATCATTATTTTTAAAGATAAATTTTTTTTTAGATCAACCACCTAAAGAGGTATGCTATGCCACTTTTTTTTTCCTTCTTTTTATTATTTTTATTTATTAGGTTTCGCTTTTTGTATGTGCATATGTGTAGTGGATTATATAAGTTGTGGTATAGTCATAAAAGAAAAAAGATAATGCTAATTTATGAGAATATATTTTTTATATTAAAAAAATATTTGGCATTAATGTGGAATTATGCAGGAGGTAGGAAAAATATAAAAAACCTCTGAGATGTGTTGATGTGGCCACTGAGATGTTTTGATGTGTGGAAAAAAGATATAGTATAAAGTGTTAAAGTAGAATGTGGCCTGGTGAAAAGTTTCTTAATAGTTAAAAAAAATGTTTTGCTTAAGTACTTTTGAAAAAATAAAACAAGTTTCTTGTCTAAAAAACTAAGGTCAAATTTAAAAATACAAAAACTTGTTGAACCAGAATAAAAATAGCCTAAGGTGCTTGAGGTGTTGAGGGTGTTTTCCTAGGTTCAGAAGGTTACTATCTAATTATCTTTTTTCCATCAAAAATATATAAAAATTTTATTTAACTTTTTTATTACTAATTTAAAAATTTTTTTTTTTTTTTTTTTAAGTAAAAGAAGCTTTTGTTTCTCTAAGTATATAATTTTTTAAGCTATAAATAAAACATTTTTGTAACATGTAAAAATAAGAGTAACATTTAAAACAAACATCTGTTATGTTATAAAGTCTTGCATTTTTTTGCTTATATTTCACTTAATATTTTTTTTGCTAAATATTTTTCTTAAAAATCTTTTTCATTTTTTTCAAAATATTTTGCCTATATTTTCACTATTAAATATCTTTTGTGTGACAAACAGTGAAATAATTCTTTTTTGTTTTAATTGAAAAATTTTAAAATAAATTTATTTTGTATATCATGTAATTTTTACATTTAGTATGTTTACTGTTTTTATTTTTTATTTTTTGCTTTAATTTTTTTTGTAACAAGGTTTTTTACTTTTACTTTTAGTTTTCTTTCGATTTCTCTTATTGGTGAGTTTTTTAAAATTCTCTTATTGGTGAGTTTTTTAAAATCTCTTATTGGTGTGTTTTTTATTCACTTTTTTGGTAAGGACCTTTTTATTTTCCAAATGCAATGCTTGTGTTGGTTATTTTTTTAATTATTATTACCCATAGGTCACATGATCAGTTTGAAACTGATGAAAATGGAATTTTTGTTGGTACTAGTCCCCAATATGCTGATCAGCGAATGGTTTTCAATGATCTAGGTCAAGGTGTTTTAAACAATGCAGTTCAAGGTTGATATTTTTGTATTTCGTTCTTTATCATAGTTGTGTTATGATCACAACTAATTTATTCAGAAATAAAAATAGAATTAACAATAAAGTAGCAATGACAAAAAATAAACTGTGTTACTTAGATATATATGTACAATGAAATATTCAGCAGTTATTTTGGGACACTAAATATTTTTGGGTGAGGAATTTCTCTCTAACAGCATTAACAAAAAAAAAAACATTTTGTTTTGTATATGAATAATTGAATGATTGATTGCCATGAGTTGTCTGGGTTTTATTGGTTGCTTGTTTGGGTTGCTGAGGCGCTTCTTTTAAATAAAGTATAGATATTTATCAACATATTTTTAAATTAATCAAAATGGAAAGCATTTTTAATTTTAAACAACTGTAAGCTAAAGTTTAGGCGGTTATTTTATTAATTTGATGATTAGTATGAATAGGACGCTAGTGTAAAGTATTTCAAGTTATAGAACTTTTTTTTAGGTTTTAATTGTTCACTCTTTGCTTATGGCCAGACTGGAGCTGGGAAAAGTTATTCCATGGTTGGTTATGGTCCAAATAAGTGAGGCATTTACTTTATCTAAAAACTTACATGTGCACATATATTGTACTCAATGGAAGTAAAAAATTAGTTTTTAAAATTTCTTTATGTATTTATTAGAGGTATTGTTCCCATCACCTGTGATGAATTGTTTAAACTTATAGAAAGATCTACTTCTGGTATAGTAAGTTAAGCATAATTATCTTATTCTACTATATGCAGTTTTCATTTCATTATAAAAGAAATTTTGTTCCATATTAATTATATGTATGAACAATCATAGAACGTTTGATCCAACAGACATTTTAACACAAAATGGCTATTTATTAGAAAGGAGTAGAATAATGAAATGTTTTTTTTTATTGACATAAATCTCCATCATATATAAATGTTGTCTGCCCAACCCTTTAAATCAAAATTGCTTTTCATTTGCTGTTGTTATTCTCAGTGAAAATTAGGATCTAAATCATATGTTAAAAGATATTATATATCAAAAATTCAGTTAATTTTTTCTCAGACATAAACAAAATTTAGTTTTCATTTTCTTAGGCATTCCTGCAAATGAGAATATAACAAATTATGTTAAAAATGAAATTTTTACCATACTTTTTTTGAGTTTAAATTTTATACAGGATTAGGTCTAAATTAGCACAATTATGTGACATTTATTAATTGTTATATGGTGCGCTATAGCCTTAAAACTGTTTTACAGTTAAACATTTGTTATTAAATATGTTACATCCATTAGGTGTTACTTAAATAGTTATTATCTACTGAATTACAATTGCACATTTGTAATTTACTTAATACTAAATTTACATAGTTGTTATCCTGTTTGATTAAATATGAGTTTTGTTAAGGCATAACATCCATAAAAAATTGAAGTTTTTTTTAAATGTCATTTTAAAATGTATTTTTTATTTTAGGTATATCAAGTTACATTTAGTATGTTGGAGATCTATAATGAGCAAGTTCGTGATCTTCTCACACAAGATAATCCAAAAGGTGGACTTCCTGTAAGTTTTTGTTAAAAACTTGACTTGAAAAATAAAATATACAGTCATGATCATGGACCTATATTTTACTTTTTAACTAAGTACAAACATCAAGTTCCTACCAAAGTATCAACATTCATAAGCTAACATTTTTAAAATTTAAATGAGTATTTGATTAAATGTCAGTATGTATAAAGTCAGTATTTTAACAAACATAATGATAATAATATGTTTTTGTGCTGATATAATTTTATTTAATAATTAAAGCACCTGTATTTCTATGATTTCTTTTATATTGTATAAATTTTTATTTTAGGTTCGACAAAATCCAAAACTTGGTTCATTTTATGTTCAAGGCTTGAAGTTCGTTGCAGTAGGAAGTTACAAGGAGATAGAAGCAAGAACTGAGGAAGGTATAAAAACTTATCCTTTTTAAGTCATGTAATAGTGTGCAATAAAATGTGATGTCTATGTTCAATATCCTGTTTAAAACTTAATATGTAATAAATAGTTTATTTTTATTCTTCTATTATTTAAAAGCTTATTAATATTTTCATGTTACCTGCATTTGAAAAAGAACATTAACATTGTGTTTCTTGTTGCCTGTTCTTTAAATAACTTTAAAAATGTTAAGTTTCTTGTTGCTCTTTTAAAAGCTTTGTTTACATTGTGTTTTTTATGTTGCCTGCTCTTTAAAAAAGTTTATTAACATTGTGATTTTTATGTTGCATGCTCTTTAAAGAGATTGAATAAAGTTTGACATTTGTTGGCAGTATTGGTATGTTATAAAAAATAACACAAGTTTAATCTTTTCTTAAAAAATTAAAAAATAACACAGGTTTAATGTTATTCATTTTATTAGACTATGATAATCAAAATCATAATGATTGTTGTTAGTGTCAACAATAGGGTTTTATTTAAATAAAACACAGTTAAACTTTAGTTTGTCACTCTCTTGGCATATATTGCGTACCATCACTAGATTATTAACTTAACATTGTGCCATTATGGCAAGGCTGTTTTGGAAATAAAAAAGCTAAAAGACTGAAAAAAATCTTTGTTGCAGTCTTTTTGCTTTTTTTTTCCGATCAAAATATCTTTTCTTAGGTGATTTAGGTGACCTCGCTATTACTAAAGCATCATTGCATTCATACCATTTTTCTTCCTTTTACTATTGCACTAATATGTCACAAGTATATTTATTTATATTTTTCATTATGCCAATTTGCTCGTATTACTTATGCATTGTTTTATCACAATAAAAAATTTTTTTAAAATTTTTTTCTGATTATTTTTTTTAAAGATTTAAGATTTTTACATAGGTACTGCAAATAGAACAGTTGCTTCAACTCAAATGAATGCCACTAGTTCACGTGCACATACAGTAGTAACTATACAGTTTGATCAAATTGAGAAAAACCCTGCAGGAGAAGAAACTAAAAAGCAAAGTGTTATTAACTTAGTAGATTTGGCTGGTATAGTTTTATTATTTATTATTATATAAGTTATTAAAATTTTTGGTACAAAAAAGATTAAAATTATTTTAATACCTTTTTTTCTAAATTTTGTTTAATTAATCAAAATTTAATAAAAGTTAAATTTTATAATATTATGTTTTAATAGGTTCTGAGCGAGCTGATTCTACAGGTGCTACAGGAGATCGTTTAAAAGAAGGAGCAAACATAAATAAATCATTATCTTCGCTTGGTAATGTCATCTCTGCACTTGCTGATCTTTCTATGGGTAAAAAAAAAGTTTTAGTTCCTTATCGTGATTCTGTTTTAACAAAGTTGTTACAGAATGCACTTGGTGGAAACAGTAAAACAATCATGATAGCTGCTTTGTCTCCTGCAGACATTAATTATGATGAAACATTAGGTACACTAAGGTATGTTTTTTTTATAAATAATAAATTGTTTTTCATACTTATCTAAAAGATTTGTGAACATTGCAATTACATATATTATACAAGCAACTTGATCACAGAAAATAAAAGTTTATTTTATATTGGATAAATACTACTAAAGGTTATGTTATATCAGAAAAATGTTAGACCTTTAAACTTTGCCTTTATATAACAAAGCATTTTTATTTTACAAATTCAAAGAAAATAATCCTTTATAATTCTTGTTTATGCTGAACATGTGTTATTTTCTATTTGAATTTATAATTTTGTCAATCTAGGAATTATCATTCTTGCATTTATGAAAGTTCAAAAATTTATAAGTTTTAAGAAAGAGTTAAACCCCTGTAAATGAATTTAAGCTTATACAAGATTTTAACCATATATTCAAATATAAGTGCATAGAATTTATATTAAATATTTATAGTACTGTAATTAAATGTGTTTAGATTTATGTACACTTTAGAAGGTTGTATATTTTAAATTTGATAGATATGCAGACAGAGCAAAGAAGATTAAAAACAAAGCTGTTGTTAATGAAAATCCAATGGATAAACTTATTAGAGAGTTAAAAGAGGAAAATGAAAAGTTAAAAAAAGCTATGCAAAGTGGAGACTTTTCTTCACTAATGGCCGGTGTTGGTGGTGGGGAATCAGGAGGTGGAATGACTGAAGAAGGCAAATTTTATAAAATTTTGATAAATTTTTTATTTATTATTATTATTTTTTTTTCATTTTAGGTTTTTTATAAATTTTTATTTTATTTTAGAAAAAGCTCAATTGCGAAAAGAAATGGAAGATGAAATAAGAGCTCAACTTGAAGCAAATTCTTCTGCAATGATGAACTGGGATGATAAAGTATGATATACTAAGTAATAAAATGCTCAAAAACATTTACATCAAAAAAATGTGAAAGTTGTAAAAGTTTAAAATTTTTTGTGCAGAAACACATTTAAAATATTTTTGGTTTGTGGGTTTAAATAAACTTATCTTTTTAGTTAAAAGTTGCTAGAAATAAATAAACTTATCTTTTGCTAAACTTATCTTTTAGTTAAAAGTTGCTAGAAGTGAAATAGTTGAAGTAGATGCAAAAGCAGAGCAAGCTAAAAGAGTACCTCATCTTGTAAATTTGAATGAGGATCCTATGCTTTCATGTGTTATTTTACATTTTTTGAAAGAAGGTGAGTATTATATTATAGTTTTTTTTTGAATTTGTTATTATATGTCTTTTAAAATGTTACTTAATATTTTTAGGTCAAATTCGTATTGGTAGAAAAGAATCAAGTCCAGATATTGCAATGTCAGGTTTAAGGTTAATTAAATTTTTTGATTTCAATTCTGTAAATTAAATCTTTATTCAGGTATTCCAGAACTTACTGTTTCTTTGTTGTTATGACACAAGAGGAAGTGTATATATTTACACGCTTACAAGCTTATAGGGAATGGTGCGATATAAAAAATTGTGTTTAAATAGTTTTATTTCAATTTATTCAGTAAAATCAACAAAAAGTTTGTAAACATATTTTCAATGATTTAAAGCTCTTATTTAGTACAAAATAAAGAAGGTTTAATAGTAACAATTATTGAAAATAAAATTGCTTTGCAGACCCCAGACCCTGCTCTTTGCTCTACAATGAAGCCATCAAAATCCAGATTTTTGGCTATGCCAACACAAAAACTGACTTATTTTTGCTTTAATGAGGCATTCATCAACATATATCCACCAAACTGAATCTCTAAAAGCGTTATGCAAAAGTATAAAAAAATTACTATAAAAAATTATTGAAAATAATTTAAAAAAAACAGTGTTAAAATGAATAAAGTAAAAAAAAAATTTATTAACTAGTTTTTTAACAACTAATTTTTTTTTCTAACAGTTGTTATGATGGCCAAGCCAAGATTTTTAAGTGATTTTGGATTTAAGGGATTTTGGAAGGGATTAATTTTTTCTTTATTTAAATTTTTGTTGTTAAACGATGGAACAACTTCATTCAATGGGGTTTCTCGATAATGTTTGGTTATCTGTATGAGATAACCATGTTTATCTCATTGGTTATCTCATACAGCTGACATATGACATTCTTTTATGGCATATGGTACACAACATTCTTGTGCCTTAAATCTAATGTAAAATCCTTAAGTTTTTTTGGACTGCATGGTAAGAAATTGGGCTGCATGGTAAAAAATGCTGCATGGTAAAAAATTGGGCTGCATGGTAAAAAATGCTACCCTTATTATATAAACTTAAGTTCAACTTTACTGTTCATTTTAAGATATTTCAACAACAACAAAAATTTATTAAACTGTAACTAAACTTTTTTATACTACTTTTGTATATATTCTGGTTTTCTAAAGGAATATATCTTTTTCAAATTCAATAATTTTTAGATATTAAATTCTTTAATTTTAGCAATTCTGTAATTTTAGACTTCCAGGTTGAATAATACTTCAATGCTAGCAATATATTATATAAAAATTTTGTTTTTATGTGATTTAATTCTTTGTTTGTTTTTATGTGATTTAATTCATGATTTAACTCTTCTTTACAAAATAAAAATTGTTTTGAAATTAAAATTAAATATTTAAATTAGAATTTTAATCTCAAATATTAAAAATTAGGATTGCAAGTTTTTCATTTTTTTTCTTTTTCATTTTTTATATTGTATTAAAAGAGAAAAGTATTGTATTAAAGTATTGTGCAATACAATATACCAGGTGTATTTATATGAAGAAGTAAACATAAAGAAAAAAGAAAAAATTTATAAAAAGGAATAAAAAAATTTATTAAGATGTTACAATTTAAATCAAATTTACGTTTAGTATATCAAGCGAACACGCAATCATAACTAATAAAAATGGAGAAGTCAGTGTTAAACCTGCCAATTCAGGTGCAAAGACAAAAGTAAACGGAATAGTAATCACTGGAGAGCAAATTCTGAAACACCATGATCGACTTTTGTTCGGTATTTTTTACACCTACTTTTCTATGTTATGTATTTTAGATAAAATATAGTACACATTTAACAGTGAAGTATTACATAAATGGATTTTAGTTTGTTTTAATAATAAAAAATCTGCAATAAAAATTTAAATTTTGTTATTATCTTAAATTACTTTGTTTACTTAACTTATCATATAATTTTAAATCATATAATTTTAAAATTTTTTGATTGTCAGTAACTTTTTAATCAGTTTCAGTAAAAATATTTAAATTTTTATTAACAGTTTCAAATTTACGCTTTGAAAATGAAAAGTGAAAAAATATTTTGAGATTTAATAGTTTTTCTTTGTTTTATCAAGAATCATTGTATGTATGTATGTATGTATGTATGTATGTATGTATGTATGTATGTATGTATGTATGTATGTATGTATGTATGTATGTATGTATGTATGTTTATATTTATATTATAAAAATACTTTTATACAGGGTCAAATCATATGTACTTTTTTGTTAATCCTTTGAAGAAAGATGAAGGCTCTCCTGAAACTGTAGACTGGGAGTTTGCAAATAAAGAAATTGCTCAAGCAAAAGGTTTTTCAACAGCAGGTGGAGCTGGATTAAGCAAAGGTAAGCAAAATTTCTAAATAAATTTTTAGAATGTTTTTTACTTAAATTGCTTTGATTGAATCAAGCAAAATAACAAGTATTATTATAAACTTGAGTTTTTTTCACTGGAAGTAAACTGAAAATTTCTTAGACTGTAGATTAGATAAAAATATTAAGTGTTGTTTAGATTCTTTCACTGTAGATTAGGTTCAATTAAAAGAATAAGTGTTATTTAGATTTTTTTTTTACTGTAGATCAGATTTTATTGAAAGTTCAAGTGTTATTTAAATTTTTTTCGTTGTAGATCTGAAAGAAAAGGTTTTATTTAGAAACTTTAACTGTAAATCAGATTCAACTGCGAGAACAAGTGTTATTTAGATTTCTTTCACTGTAGATCAAGTTAAATGAAGGAATCAAGTTTTATTCAGATTTCTTTGACTGTAGATCAGGTTTAACCAAAAGAATTAAGTGTTATTTAGATTTCTTTAACTGTAGATCAGGTTCAACCAAAGAATTAAGTGTTATTTAGGTTTCTTTCACTGTAGATCAGGTTCAAGCACAAGAACAAGTGTTAGAACTGTTGCCAATGGTAAGTGAAGTAAATGCAATTAGTGAGGAACTAGACAAACAAATGTAAGTTTTATTTCCATTTTGTTTATATAAAACTCAAATTGAGACATGTGAGATAAAAAATGCAAGATTGTGAGGTATGTGATAAATAAAAATCAAACATAGGATCAGGAGATGCAAGATAAAAAAAGTCAATCACAATATTGAGAGATGTGAGATAAAAAAAATTCAACATAGGATTAGGAGGTGCAAAATAAAAAAATCAAACACAATGTTACCAGGTTTGAAGTTTAGAGATTTGGTTCTTATGTAGTACTAGCATCTAGACTGGATCCACTAAAAACCTTTGGCTATTCTTTTTAAAAATATATACAACCTCCCCAAAGCATAATTTAAAATTTTTAACTTTATATATATATATATATTTTTACCACTCACTCAACAGGGTTTAAATCTGCGCTATATATATATATATATATATATATATATATATATATATATATATATATATATATATATATATATATATATATATATATGTATATATATATATATCAACCCTCAGAATTAGGTTCGGCATTTGGCAATGCCGACCTAGCTGCCGACCTAAACGTGTTTGCATTCATCAAAAAAGAAATTCGGCTTTGCCGACCTTGTTTCGATGTTTTATTGTAAGACCTTTGTATTTGCCGACCTGATGCCAACCTCTAAAAGATTGAGGTCGGCAAATTATTGCCGACCTCAATTTTCCTAATTCCGAGGGTTGATATATATATATATATCATCGTTTTGTTAAAATATCTATCTTGGTGGCATTTTATCCTTAGCACGACCAAGCATTTTTTCATTGATGATACCCTTATACATATATCCTTATATCCTGATCCATAATTCCTTCAATATAAAGAATAGGTTCTATACAATCATGGCTAAAGCTACTTTAAACCATAATATTTCCACCACCATGCTTAACAGTTATAATTTGGTATTTAGGATTGAATCTCTCAATTGCAGGACATCAAACATACTAAATTATATCCAATCCAAATAGCACAAACTTAGATTCGCTCCAAAGAAATTTTGCCTGCTGATTTGGTGTCCAATCAAGCTTTACGATAATTTACAAAAACAAGTGGTTTCTTCACTGGTTTTATGCCCAAAAAGGAAGCCTTATGAAACAAAATTTGATGGTTAACACAGAGCATTTAATTTGATAGAACTTCAGCATTTAATACCACACCAGATTTTCTTAGATTTTCTTTAGAGTTGACTTATTCGCTTCTTGTACTTGTTTGTTCCTTGAGCTTTATATTGTTAAACAACTTGTCCTATTGCAGTTTTGGAAACATTAAATTGATTTGCAATTTGATAAGACATTATTGATTTGACTAATTTTAAGATTAATTTTTTTAATTTCTTTTCACTTTCCCATTTTGTATTTTATATATACAAAGCTGGTCTGTGGCATTTTGGGGACCCTGGTGCAAACTAAGTTTGAGGCCCTTTAAAAATATGTAACCTAAATGGTGATATTTTTTATTGTTATTTTTTAATTCCTAGTCAATTGAGTAATTTTAATGAGCAGTATTGATATAAATAAAGAAATAACCGGTTAATAAAAAAATAAAAAATTGTGAAACATGTGTGTTTTAAGAGAAAATGAAAAGTATTAAAAATAATATTCTTTATCATCGATTTCAAAAACACCTTTCAGTTCAAAATAGGAACTCTCTGTGCTTTGGCTTCAGAAAACTTTTTTGTCAAATTAGTGTTATGGCAACCTCATTTTCAATAAATTGTTAGTAATCTCCAATATCAATTGTATGCATACAATGCACACAGTGGGTCTTGATTCATTGTGGTTCTTAAATAAGTTTTAATCAGCTTAAGTTTAGAAAAGCTTCGCTCCCTTGACTCTATAGTACTTGGCATTAATAGTATAAATAATACTTATAATATATAATACAACAAGTCACTTATGCAAGACTATTCCATACTGCATAGACACTTTAAATGAGAAAATTGTATTTTAAAACCTTAAAAAAAGAAAGTATTACCGACAAACTATAATAATACTCATAAAAACTTTTAACTAAACTTTTTCAGGTGCTTACAAATCAAAACACAAATAGCGAAAGTCAATTTTTTTAATAAGTGATAAAACAAGGCAATATAAAACTGCGCACAGTTAAACTGTTCAAATATTTCTGTTTTAAATCAAGTTCCATCTCACTGATATTGTTTACAGCTGTGTCTGACCACTAAAGCGTTTTCAAAAGCGTTGTGTTTACATAATATTGTTTAGGGTAACTTTTTCTGTTTTTATATTTTTGGATCCACTAAGTAAAACTTTAAACTTTCTGTACCAAGAGATTTTGTGCCAAATTAATATTGTTTTATGACAATTCGTTACCAACAATGCTGCATATATTAACACCCTCCTGAATCTACAGTTTAAAGAAGAAAAATTATTATTATTTTTAATTAACTGTTATCAATTTTAAAGTTAATTTCAAAAAATAAATAAAAATAGTTATTACTCAAGACATGACACAACACTACAACAACAATATAACAAATACCACTAAAAATCGAGACTCTTTTGCATTGTAGAAGACAGAAAAAACAACAGTTTCACGTATTTGTGCACCCAGTGGCTCTAATTTGTGTATATCCATCCTTTTCATCGTGCACTGGTGTTTAATTTTACTACAAAAAAAAGCATTATGCATAACTGAGATGTTTGAATATGATTCAAACTAACAGTCATATATAAAGTATCAACTAACATTCATATATAACATATATATTTACAGATTATGTACAGAAATCAACTAACAGTCATATACACGTATATAAAGCTAAATTCATCAAACACAAAATGCTGTTTTTATTAAAATTAAAGGCATGAACTAATGTCGGTTTTGTCCTGTAGTCTTTAAATAAATATTTAATAACTAACAACTATTTCTATTCTTCTCCCAGTGTTCCAGGGTAGCTAAGAAGTTGTTTTCCTTAAGCAAATAATTTAAATATAATACAGGGTGTCTGCCAATATTTAAATATGGATTTCCCTGACTTTTCCCTGATACTCAACCTGTTTTTGCTGACTTAATTAAAAGCAACAAAAGCTCAACTTTAGAGAAAATCAACTTAAATTTGTTCAGAAAAATGCTTTAGTGCAAATATATATAAATGTAATTACAAGCAACACTTAAATTATCAATAGAAGGCCATAAAAAAAATCTTATAATTTTCCTTAAGCAACTAAAATTCAATATAATAAATAAATCATAACCATAGTTTGTATAATGTCATTATTATTAGGAATGCATATGTTACATATTATTCTAAAATATAATAATTAAACATTTTTAAAATCCTACACTTTATTTTAAAAACACTTTTATTTTCCATTTTACACTTTTATTAAAGAACTTGTTTTTGCAAGATTTGCAAAAGGTAACGTGTCATGTCTGAATTCGTTCTACGGTATTTAATTTTAAGTTTTATAAAAAACGGTTTTTTGACGTTTTTTGTTTGTATTTACAGCTGATGTTTGCCTTCGGGCATGAAACTTTAAGTCCCACTATTTAGTTGTTTTTATTCATTTAATTACATAGTATATATATATATATATATATATATATATATATATATATATATATATATATATATATATATATATATATATATATATATATATATATATATATATATGATAGGACTTAATGTATCTATATAAGGGTAAAATTATAATGTTAGGTATGCAAAATACATATATATAAGGTACACTTATACACCATTAATGGTTTGGTCTATAACGTGGTGCAAGTGTATTGGCTGTAGCCAATGATTCTATGCCATTGCTTAGGCCAATTTGCTCCTGATCATTACCAATAGCATATGCTAGAGTCTCTGCTGATGTAAGGTACATTTTATACATGCATTTTACATACTAAATGTTATTATATTACCCTCGCATATATAGATTAAACCCAATTATTAGCTTAATCGGCTTTTGGCATGGGTACATCACTAATATATATATATACATATATCTCTCTCTCTCTCTCAACAACATCCACATTATTTTAAAATGATATAAATAAATAAAAAGAAAATTAATTATAACTTTAAAAATAGAAAGATATTGATTAGGATACATAGTTTATCCGTTGAAATGCAGTATTTTCTTTTTTGAAAAGGTAGATATAATCTTAGACTAGTTATATTATTTGTCTTTGCAAATATCTAAAAAATATCACAAGTAAAAAAAACTCTCTCAATTCATCTCCGACAACATTCAAAAAATTGGCGCAAAATAAACAACCGACGACCGAAAGAGATTACATGAAAATTTAATTTGAATTTAACTTAATAAGATCTTATCAAGATCTTAATAAGATTTGCAGTTTTTTTCTTGCATTTATTTCTTATTAAAATCTTAGCAAGATCTTTGAAAGATCTTTCAAGATATTAAGATCTTAACAATATCAAGATAATAAGATCTTAACAAGTTATTCAAAGTAAATCTTATTAAGATACAAATAAATAAGTTCTTATTAAAATATTTATGTAAGATAAGAAAGATCTTACAGATCTTAGTAAGATTTGCAAGATTCGTCGCTCTGGGTAGACAGTTTATTTCATTAAAAAACAAACAAAAGTCTAAGAATAATGAAATTAAAATAATACAAAAAAAATAATAATAATAATATTAATAATTATAAAAAAAGAGTCTTGAAAATACTTCATCTCTAGATAATACCTTTCAGTTTATATCGTTACAGTGACTGAAGTTCCCACACATAGCTATTTCCACAGAGCTATTTCTACAGATAGTTATTTCTGCTAAATGTCATCAGTGAAGTTTTATGAAAAAATTTTTTTTCTATTTAGTTTTTCAAATATTATTTTTAGGTCGTTTGAAGTGATTTTAATATCTGGAGCTGCTCAAGGAGGAAGCGTTGATAAAGGAACAAAGTAATTTTAGTCAATTTTAATAATTTTAAATAATGTCTATTTTAATAAATAAAAAAAAGAAACATCTCTGATAAAACTAGGCATATGATTTTTTTTTTATTATATATATATATATATATATATATATATATATATATATATATATATATATATATATATATATATATATATATATATATATATATATATATATATATATATATATATAAAAGCTTTAATATTTAATAAATAATATATATTATTTTTATGAATAATAACATAATATTTTTCTAATTTTTTTAATATATGAAAAGTCCATAACCTGCTACAGAATGTGGATATTTTAAATAAAAGCAATAACTGTTTGACATGATTGATTATTTTTTTCTTTCTACATTGTTACTTTTTTAAGACAATTTGATAATGCAGATATGGAGAGTTATTTACTTTTTACCCTTTACTCTAAATCCTATAAGTTTATAAATTTTCTTGACAGAGCAAAATACTATGTAGTATCCTGTTTTATGCTGTGTTCTGTTTTATGCTGTGTTCTGTTTTTGAAATAAATTCATCTGATTAAGATCTAAATTATGCCACATTACATAGCTAATATATATGCCACATTACATAGCTAATATATATGCCACATTACATAGCTAATATATATGCCACATTACATAGCTAATATATATGCCACATTACATAGCTAATATATATGCCACATTACATAGCTAATATATATGCCACATTACATAGCTAATATATATGCCACATTACATAGCTAATATATATGCCACATTACATAGCTAATATATATGCCACATTACATAGCTAATATATATGCCACATTACATAGCTAATATATATGCCACATTACATAGCTAATATATATGCCACATTACATAGCTAATATATATGCCACATTACATAGCTAATATATATGCCACATTACATAGCTAATATATATGCCACATTACATAGCTAATATATATGCCACATTACATAGCTAATATATATGCCACATTACATAGCTAATATATATGCCACATTACATAGCTAATATATATGCCACATTACATAGCTAATATATATGCCACATTACATAGCTAATGGTAAAACCATTGCATTATAAGTTGCTGCAGCTGCTTTTATTGTTAAATAGAGCTGTAAAATATTGATGCTGCTTTGGGCTCTTGATGATGCTTTTTGTTATGACTGTTAGAATTGTATGTTTAGAGTAAGGATTTATTATTTTATGATTTTTGAAAATTGTGCATTTGTATGCAAGTTGAAGGCTCTTAAGCAAGTCTTTGTTCTGAAGAATATACATCTATTTTTTTCTTTATTTTAAACTAAGAAAAAAGTAGGTATATATTATTCATAAAAAATGGATATATATTATTCAAAAAAATAGTTATATATTATTATTATATAAATAGATTTTAAACTTAGATTGAAACAAGTTCTTTTTCACTGGAAACTTTCATATAACTTTTCACTGAATAATTCTACAACTGCTTTCAAGTCCTTGTTGTGTCTGTTTACAATCATTTATATGGCTCCTGTCACTAAAAAAGTTATCAATAATTTTTTAATTAAAAGTTAATAGTCACCAAAAAAAAATTGCAACATCATCTACAAATTAATTGCATATAAAAATTTAGGGCATTCACAAAATTTATTGTAAAATATGTAAAATATTAGTGGTCCATTTAGTGTTAGTATTGAGCTTTGAGGGACACTCCATGCTATTGGCATGCTATTTGATAGTTAACAAATAGATGCAAAACAAATTGATGCAAAAACATTTGTGCTCTCATTTAGCAATACCATACAAAATTAACTTCTGTTGAAAGATGGCATAAAGCCAATTATGCCATCCTACAAAAACGTTGGCAAAATTGGCATTATGATGAACTCTGCACAAACTCATTTAACTTAAATCCCTTTCGACATCAATAAATAGTGTACAAACAGCTTCAGTAAAGTACTTCTTATGTACTTAATACCCTAATTGCTTACCTTTTTTTTTTTCATGACAATTCATTTAGTTCATTTTCTAAATATCTTTGAATCATGGGAATTTGAATCCATGTGAATTATGTGTAAGGATTGGTTTGATTGAATTATTTTAAAAGCATATTTTTCTATTTTTTGACTATTAATAATGAATACTAAATCAATAATAATTATTTCATATCTAATTTAAGTATTGAAAATTTTTTTTTCTTTTGTCTTTTCGGCTAATTTATATATACTCATATTCAACTAACTCTCTTAACTATGCTTTTTTTTTTTTAATTCAACACATTTTAGGGACTTTTACATATGTGGAAAATTTCAAACTTTACTTAAATAGAAAGAGGGTGCTTCACTGTTATATAATAAACATTAAAAGAAAATTGACAACAATTCTTAAAAAAATCTCAAAGCATTTTTTTAAGAATCTTTGTCAAAACAAACATTAAAAAAATATACTTTTTGTTAAGAGTTGTTGTCAAAATGAAGAACTTGTTAAATGATAATGTTTGGCTTTGGGAACGAGGAAAATTTACTAATAGAAGATATTTAATGCAGGTAGTATTTTATATAAATAATAATTAAAATCAAATATGAAATAACTAAAATAATAATTAAATTACAAATAGTAATAAATATAATAAATAGGGTGAATAATTTTTTGTTTAAAGGATATGTACCAGCGTTTTTTGGATGGTGAGAATGTTAAATCGACCATTAAACAAGAGGACGATCCATTTTGGGAACCACCTGAGGATGTTTTAATAGGAACTGCAAATGTGTTTTTGCAAAGTTTGTCATATGCTTTAGATTTTGATGATAAACTTTCAATTACAGATTACAAGGTAAGATTACAAGATTACAGTTTACAAGGTTTGTTAAATCAATGATATTCAATGATAAACATGAACATCAATGATTTTAATGTGGTTTCATGTTTATATTAAAAGTAATTTGAAAAATTTGGATTTTTTTCTTTTTTCAGTAAAAATTGAATTTTTGAATAATTTCAAGATCAATGATTTCAATATTTGAATGATTTTTATTAAGTAAACTTTTTTTTAGGGTTCAGAAGAAGGTAGTCTGGTAATAAGTGTAGTTCCATGTACACAACAAGGAAAAGCATTAGATGAAGACTATTTTGTTGATGATCCAAAAGACCTGTTGGGAAAACCCTATCATTTTAAGGTTTTATCATTTTAAAGTTTTAATATTTTAAAGTTTTATCATTTTAAGTGTTTTAAGGTTTTATCATTTTAAGTGTTTTTAGGTTTTATCATTTTAAAATTTTATCATTTTAAGTGTTTTAAGGTTTTATCATTTTAAGTGTTTTAAGGTTTTATCATTTTAAGTGTTTTAAGGTTTTATCATTTTAAGTGTTCTAAGGTTTTATCATTTTAAGTGTTTTAAGGTTTTATCATTTTAAGTGTTATAAGGTTTTATCATTTTAAGTGTTTTAAGGTTTTATCATTTTAAAATTTTATCATTTTAAGTGTTTTAAGGTTTTATCATTTTAAGTGTTTTAAGGTTTTATCATTTTAAGGTTTTTATCGTTTTAAAGTTTTATCATTTCAAAACTTTAAAATTGTTTTTTTCTTTTTAAAATACAAATTTAGCATTTTAAATGTTCTTAACACGTTAAAACCTCTCATATATAAAATAAATACCTGTACATTGTACAATGATTTGAAATTAAAGAGAATATTTATTCAACTATGTGTCCCAAAAATTATAAATTTTTGTATTTTTTTATATCAGGTTTTATTACGCAGTGCAGAAGTACACAAAGCTCGCTATTCTCATGGTCTGTATGTAAAGTTTCTTACTTTTGGAGAAAAGACACCATTTGAAACTCCAGTTATTAATGGAACATTGTCTCCACAGTTTAATTTTAGTAAAATAATTTCCATGCCTTCTATAACTGATGATCATTTAAATTGGTTTGAACATGGATGTTTGTCATTTAATTTATATGGCAAGCAGAATCCTAATGCAATTGACCAGAGATTGGCTAAAATGACAACTAAGGTTAATCTTTAAAATGACAACTAAGGTTAATCTTTAAAATGACAGCTAAGGTTAATCTTTAAAATGACAACTAAGGTTAACCTTTAAAATGACAACTAAGGTTAATCTTTAAAATGACAACTAAGGTTAATCTTTAAAGATAACTTTAACTATTTACAACAACTGTGTACCTAATTGGTTAACTGATGATGCCTGTATTTTGTTAATAGCATATTATGTTTAAAATGTTTATTATCTCAGGAACTTCGACAAATGGAGTCCATGCAAAGTAACAAAAGTATATCAAAACATGCAAGTTTTAGAGAAAAAAGTTTTGGAGAAATCGCTCAACTAAAAAGTGAAGTTATTCTATACAAAAGAAGGTACGAAAGAATGAAACAAAAAGAAAAGCGTATTCAGGTATGTTTGTGTGTGTTGCTAAAAAATTTAGATTTCAATTCATGTCTAAAGTCCTCTCAAAAATAATATCTTTTAATAATAAAAGCATTAAACATTTATATCATAATATGTGATATAATTGTTAAAACTTAAATATCAAAATTTTTTATATTTATATAATAATGGGTGGAAGGGAGGTTGAATATGAGTTTTTTTTAATGGTGCGTTTTAGCATATGTTTTAACCTTAAAAAACATCTACTAAGAAATTTAAAAATTGATTCATTGCCTCCTGAACAACAGCAGCATGACTTATACTTAACACCCACAAGTGTTGTGTGTTTTCTTTCATATCATATCCTCTTTTTAACTTTACTCTGGTCTCGATTCAGCGCATGAGTTTGGCCTATGATAAAATCAGAACATTGACCTTTTCAGCATTAACTCTGATGTATAGCATGTTTCTTGTTATTGAAGTAATCTTTAAGATATGGGTTCAATAAATATCTTTTCACAAATTGTAAAAAGATATTTATTGAAGATAAAAGCTTGTTTGGTATTATTTGTTGAAGATATTATTTATTATTATTATTATTGTTATTATTATTGTTACTATTATCATTATTATTATTATTATTATTATTATTATTATTATTATTATTATTATTATTATTATTATTATTATTATGATATTATTTATTGAAAATAAAAGCTTGTTGTCAAAGTTTATACAGAATTTTTTGTATGTTCAGATAATGCGATGTAGAGTTTTTTTGTATGTTCAGTTTTTTTTTAAATAAATTTCATTACATAAAAATCAATTTTTTAATATCATTAAAAAAGTCTTCAATGTTCAAAAAATGTTTTTGGTATTGGTTTTATAATTTAATTGTTATTCGATTTTAAACATTTCATATTTGTAAAACAATTTGCTAAAGATTTTCTTTATTAGAGTGGTCTTATCATCTATTTTAAGAATTAAAATAGATAAACTTTGATTTCTTTACCTAAAAATAAACAAAACGTATATACAAAACTGTAATCATATAAACTGTTTTTCATTGAAGATTACTCTGTCATTTATTATTATTATTGTATTATATATATATATATATATATATATATATATATATATATATATATATATATATATATATATATATATATATATATATATATTTATATATATATTTTTATATATATTATTTTTATATATGTATATATATATATATATATTTTTTTTTTTTTTTTTTTTTTTTTTTTTTTTTTTTTTTTTTTTTTTTTTTTTTTGATTTTGTATCTTAAAAATGTTTTGAATAAATTTTATTATAAATCAATTAAATTTTTGAAAACATCAATAACTTAAAGATTTGGTTGAATCAAAACGTTGATCAAAATCGACCTCCAAAAATTTATTTTACATATTATGAAATATGATTAGATTTGTTAATTCTGGAATAAGATATTAGCTGAAGCATATTTTCTTAAGTAAAAACATAGCAAATACTTTTCATTATCAAAAAATAACTTATTTTCGCCTTTTTTTCAAAAAAGGCATGCTTTTTATCAATTTATTCTATCTTATATTAATTTATTATAATATTTGTTATAAGTTTATATAATAAACATTGATCTCTTTTTGGTTATACATTATTATATAATATATAAAAAGATTTGGCTTTTGATTATTTTTAATTTAAAATATTTTTGATTCACTTTAGTTAAGAAACAAAAAAGTTTGAACATTTATAATACATTTATATATGTTAAATATATATAAATATATTATATATTGATTAAAAAATTTAATTTTAGGATTTAGTAAATGAATGGGCAAATAAAGATGAAAAAGAAAAAGAATTTGCTGCATTCCATAGGGCCGTTCAAACAGCGGCATTCTACGAACGAGGAAAACTCAAATACAAAGTCAATCTTTTGCAATCAGTAAGTCGATCGTTTCTAAATTTGTATTTGCAAATATTAAGTTGACTTGTTACTTTTTACTGCATTCTTATTATAAATATACTAAATTAGTATGTACTTACTGTTACTATTATGTACTTACTGTTATTGTTATCTACTTACTTTACTGTTATCTACTTACTGTTACTGTTATCTACTTACTGTTACTGTTATCTACTTACTGTTACTATTATATACTTACTGTTACTGTTATCTACTTACTGTTACTGTTATCTACTTACTGTTACTGTTATCTACTTACTGTTACTGTTATCTACTTACTGTTACTGTTATCTACTTACTGTTACTATTATCTACTTACTGTTACTGTTATCTATTTACTTTATGTACTTACTTTTGCTTTATGTACTTACTGTATGTAATATTTTTCATTAATGCATCCTATATTATTTCTTAACGTTTCAAATTTATTCATAAAGTATCTCAAAAGTCAACCTGGTGTCGCAGAAAATGGTGGGAAAATTAAAACAGACGAAGTTAAGGTTCCAGTAGGCAGCAAAGCTTGCTCAATACAGTAGAAATCAATTTAAACTATAGAAATTTTAAAATATATAATTATATACTAATTATTTTTAATATTAAATTATTTTAAATTATTTTTCACTATTATTTCTTTAATTATTATATCTTTAAGAGTTTGTTACTTTAAAAACATTTTTTGCTATAATAAAACATTGTTGCCTAATTAAAGAATTTTTTTAAGAGTTTGTTATTTTAAAAACATTTTTTTTTTCTATAATAAAACATTGTTGCATAATAAAGCTAAAACTTTTTAAATCTTTTTACTCTTATAAAAAAATTATTTATCAAAATAGATTATTGTATATACAAATTATATCATTTAGTGCACTTTGAGTGATTTTTATAAATTATTTTTGCAAACGACTTTTTTTAATTGTAATTTAATAGTACTGTAATATCGTTAACAGTTGAAATTATATTATTTAAAACTATTTTAACCCTGTTTTTATGTTGAGATTCAAATCCCAGAAATATTTTTGCTGTGTTTTGTAGTGTATAATTTAAATCTACGATAGTCTAGTTTGTTAGACTAACTTGTTTGAATAGGTTTTGTGAAACCAAAACCTAAGAACTGTAGAATAAAACTGGAACATAGAACTCTAGAATAAAATAAATTTAGTTTCAGGTGGTATACCTCAAATATCAAAAAACCTACAAAAAAAAATTTTTTTTAGAGAAAATTTCATGGCAACAATCTTAGCAACGCATAATAAATAATTGACAATAAATAAGCTACATATCAAATAGGTTTTCACAGTGGTTTTACTTTATAACTTTCTGAAGTTAAAATCACAATAACAAAACTAAATTAACTCTGCATATTTTGTTGAATAGTCTAAATTCAATAAACAAATAGTATTTGATAATTAGGTTTTCTTTTGAATTTTGGGAAATATAGCTTTATTGAAAATATTATATCTTGTAAAGTTAAAGTGTGAATCACTTCAAACTTTCAGGAACTATTAGTTTTTTACTCTAAGAACCTTAAAATTTAAACGTCAATATCCTTATTTACCTGTCTGGAACATGTGATCAGTTTTTTATCGGTTTTGTATCAACATATTTTAAGTTATTATACTTTGAATTAATCTATTAAAATTACAATTTTCAATAAAATTAAGGCAAATTAAAATAAAGTATAAAATAGCATGGAAATATGACATGGAAAAGACACATTTAAAACTTATTCTCTAAAATTTCCAAAAGTATAAGAATACTAATCAAAATACAAAGCATGCAAAGTACTTTAATTTAGCGATACCACTCTTTTATACATTGCCATCTAAACTAGGTTTGAGGTAGTGTTAACAAAAGTAAATTAAAACCACTTTATTGCCAACAGAAACATGTTGCACGAATTATCATTTTTAATGTTTTTGTATTTCATTTAGAGGAGCATTTTTATGTTTTTATGTTTCATTTAGAGGAGCATTTTTATGTTTTTATGTTTCATTTAGAGGTGCATTTTTATGTTTTTATGTTTCATTTAGAGGAGTATTTTTATGTTTCATTATGGAGCATTTTTATAGGGGGGGGGGGGAGAAGCATTTTTATGGAACAAAAGTAGTATTAAAAGTTTTTGATTTTTCTCAACAACTTTTTCTTATTTTAAAGAAAATTTTAAAAAATTGTTTTCTCGATTGAAAACATTCTTCGATATTTTTAAGTTTGTTTTGTTATTAATACTCTTAAGTAATCTTTTATCGTAATTTATATATATACGAAATCTTTTATCTTAACTTAAATACACATTTATTTTCTTTACTTTTGTTTTTGTAATACGTAGTATATATTATATACTTAGGACGTATAGATGTAATATTTTAGGTAAATCTTATATTTTATACTAACGAGTTCTTATATCTTAATTATAAATATATACTTTGTACATTCAAAATTTTTGAATTTGGCTGGTTTATGTATTATTTTGCACAACAAATATTATTATCTATCTGTTATATTCACGTGATTTATACATATAAGTTTGTATTCAATACCAATAATTGGTATATATTATTTATGTGTATTGTTTATATGTATGTTTATTTTTGTGTACCTGTATTTGTGTGTACGTGTATATAATATCAATAATTACACGAATAAACGCATTAAAAAAGACGAACTTATAGTCTTTTTGAATTTTTTTAAAATTGTGTCATAACTAACACCCGCTGCTATTTCAACTTCAATAGACAAAATGGATAAGATAGACAGTTTTTTTTGGCTCATTGTGCTTCTTAAGTAGGTCCTAATCAGTTTTAACATTGAGAAGCTTCTCTGAGCAGATGTTGTACTTACTGGAATTGTGTAATTCGGATTGTTATGTAAAGATTTGGATTTCTTCAAAATTTTCTAAAATGTACTGTATAAATTGCTTTGCATCATTTATATTTTCTAGTAGTAAAGTTCAAAAGGACCTAAGTTGCTGTTTTAAAACCAACAAAATGTTGCTCCAGTTAAGGAATTGCTAAATCTTAATATTATTGACATTTGTTCAATACGACTTGCATTTCTTGTGCAATCGAGCAAAAAGACATAGTACTTTGCTTATTTAATTCTGTGTGTAATTTCATTAATAACTGTTTCAGACATCAGTTTAATTAATTCATTTTAAATGTTGTGGCTCAGGTAATTTTGAGCAATTTGCTTTTCATTAATTCGTTGCAAGTGCTCCTATAGCGTCAAATCATATTTGGATAACAACTTAAATAAGTCTATAAAGTTACCACTGTTTCTGCTATCGTCCAGGTTAGGTGATTTGCAATGACCTCTAAATTCCAGATTGTGTGAGGCTAAAAAGTTTATTATATCAATCAATCTTTTAAACAAATTATTTTTCCTCGTTTTATTGTTTTTCCGTTTTTGATTCTTTTATAAAATTCTATCCATTTAACCATTCCCTTTATTTGTCCTTGATTTTTTTTATGTTTATGCAATATCCGACTCAGATTTTTGTCACAACATACTTCTTTCACTATCTGAGTCTGTGTATGCAAAAAAAGTCTTCAAGAAAAGCAATAAACTTTATTTTTTGACAAGAAGTAAACTAACCATAAGCAGCCGTGGCGCACTTGCCTCAGAGACGTAAGATCCGTGGTTCAAACCCCACCTCTGGGCAAGTTTTGCGACATCGGTTGAAAAGGAGGCGTGAACTTCCTACTAAATGCTCTTCCGAGGTGCTCTGTGATAAGACCGTAAGGACTTCTTAGGGCACCTTAATCAACTTAAAAAAAAAAACCATCCGCAGTATTGAGTTTCGCCGTTAATCAGTTTTCGCGTAAAATGAAATTTAGAAAAATGTGTGTTATTTGCGTCTCTGAGGTAACTTTGATTAAGTTTCTCTATATTTTGATGGGGACTGTTTCGAATTAAGTCATAACGCTCAGAGTCGGTTATTAGAGAAACCCATTTTCCCGCATCTAAGTTTATAAATGAATCCATCAAATGAATTGCTTGCTCTTGCCTGAGTCACGCATTTTATCACTTGCCAAATCTTTATTGCGGTCAAACTCTAGGGTCACAGCTGATACATTCAATTCTGCAGCTGGTTCTGTTTCAAAAACCAAAGAAACTTGGCCAAAAGATTCATCAGAGGACTCTGGAGCAGTAACAGTTAAAAGGGGTTTATTAAAAAATTTCATTATATTGGAACTCATAGCTTGGTTTGATTTCTCTGTTTCAGTCTTTCTTTATCTTTTTGATGCATCAGATTCTCATGTTCTACCTATATTTCTGTCTCTCGTTAGTTTTCCAGGCATTATTTTGGACTTATGTTTGGACTAATAAAAAATATTATAGTTAAGTAGACATCTGCATCTTCTCGTATCCTTTCAGAAGTTCGGCTTGTCACGGTTGAAAACAATAATTTTCGTTTCGTTCCGTTTTTACGAAACAAAAAAAAAATATCATACCGTTTTGTATCTTTTTTTATATTTGTACTTTTACGAAACAAGTAAAGCTTGTTTCGTTTCGTACCGTATTTTTACGAAACAAGAAAATTGTGTTTCGTTTCGTATCGGTTTTTACGAAATATTTCGTAATTCCCCCGCTCCAAACAAATATTTTACAATTCCCACAACCCGAGCAATTCATGAACTATAACATTCAAGCAGAACAAATGTGCGTTTGATACTTACTAACTTTATGTTTCGTACGCGAAAGTTTAACTAAAAAGTTTAACTTTCGTTTCGTACCATAAAAGAAGCAGAACATTTTTAATTAACTTTTTAAATTTACCTGTAATTAGATAAAGAGTTAAATTTTATTTATAACAGTTTGTAATATTCACTTACTTCGTTATTGTTTTTATAACAGATTGTAGTTATAAGCAATAGCTGCATTAAATACTTTAATAATTGAACTGTATTTAATATTTAAATTATAACTTAATAAACTAAGTTAATAAGGGTATAATAAAAAAACCTTAAATTTGAATTCGAATTCATTTGAAGACTTCACGGGAAGAAACGGCAGGGTCACATTTTTTTATTTTGAGAAAACTCAATATTAAAATTTAAATTCTATGTAACCTTTTAATTTTTAGAAAAAAAGCGTAAACTAGTAAGGTGTTTTCCAAATTAATTTTTTAGTTAAAGTAACTTAATAAAACAGTTCTATCTTCTCTTTTAACAATTTCGAAGCATTTCAACCCTTTACAGGTACATTCAAGTTCTGTTTTATGAGATGCTAGCCTTTTTTTTTTTAATATACTTTCGCCATTTTTAGTAATAAACATTAACCAAATCATCTGCGAGTATCATGAAAAAAAAGGACATGGAGCTTTCAATCTAAGTCTTGATAATACAGAGTAGTGTTAGGTTTATGTCTTTTAGTAAGTTTTGATTGTTTAAAAACTTGTTTTTTTGGAGGGGTTACTATTTGTATGTTAAAGAAGAGAGGCATAATTCCATCATACATAAAATCAATTATTTTATTCAAAATCAAATACAAAAGATGATTTCGTAGTTTATAAAGCTAGAAAATCAAAAAAGTAAATTTTTTCAAAATGTAATCCTGCCGTTTCTTCCCTTGGAGCCTTCATTTTTATTTCTCAGATTTTATAATTGCTTTACTAATA